CGAAGATGTCTACCGCGTACTCCAAAACAAGACAAAGGAGGCACGGTGGCTGGCGTGTGAATTACTTTATAGTCAGAGTAGACTTACTCAGTATCTACCGCACTCTCTCCTGCCTTACTCGAGCCCTGTGTCATGACAAAGGCAAGTAGACCGGAGGCGGGAGAGAGCGCAGTAGACTGACACGGCTGGACCTGCAGATGGGCGTACCCCACACCCCCTAGTTCACAAAAAACTTACAGTGCGTGACCTATCTCATGAAATGTTGGCTGAAATTTTGAAGCGCGTTTTCGATTAGGAAGGATTACCTGGTCGCGGTTGGGATACTTATTATCTTAAGGCATACTATTATAACATTTTGAACTCGGTTGGATGTCGCCTTTTAAATGCACTTCTTTTCAATCTCCTGTAGAAAGCGCGCTCGGTAAAAAATGACTACTTAAGTAGCATATTTTTCCCATTGATTTTCGATGGTCTTGGAAATTCAAATATATCTTATAGAAACCATAAACAAAATATGCTTTCTTTCAGTCACTCAATAGAGAATCACATCTTCTTTATATTTTATACTTAAGGAAGGAGTATAATTAGGTTTTGAAAAAGTTTTCTAATTGCCGAAAAATTTGGATCCTGGTCATTCGTTGTATTAGCGCTTAGTGATTACACTCTACAAGGTGCATGCGTTCCGCGTAAAGAAAATCCCATATTTTTCTATGTCATTAAAGAGATATTATACGGGGTCCATAAAATTTTGCAATGGATGCGGACCATGTTGTACATTTCATGAGGAGCAGTGGTAAACGGCCAGGTACGATGCTTTGTGAATGGACATATCGCGGTCTTAAAAAGTCTCATAATTAGAAACTTTTTTAAACCCTAATTCTACTCCTTCCTTAAGTATAAAATATAAAGAAGATGTGATTCTCTATTGAGCGACTGAAAGAAAGCATATTTTTGTTTATGGTTTCTATAAAATATATTTGAATTTCCAAGACCATCGAAAATCAATGGGAAAAATGCATGCTACATAAGTAGTCATTTTTTTTACCGAGCACGCTTTCTGCAGGAGATTGAAAAGAAGTGCATTTAAAAGGCAACATCCAGCCGAGTTCAAAATGTTATAATAGTATGCCTTAAGATAATCAGTATCCCAACCGCGACCAAGTAATCCTTCCTAATCGAAAACGCATTTCAGAATTTCATCCAACATTTCATGAGATAGGTCACGCACTGTATGACCATGATTTTAACCAACAAGAGGAGGATGACTGGGCAGACACGCACATGACCTGTATAACCAGAGGGAACACAAGTGCATCTGCCAGCAGGGAACCAGGGGTCAGAGAACTGCCAGCGCACACGAGGGCGATGTTTTGCTGATACTGGCATAGCACAGACTTACATAACTTGAGGCCCAGAAAGGTGACGCGCAGCCCTACATTTAGCCTTCAGAGAACGGATAACCAGTCAGTCGTCGACTGAGCGGCACTACCCTAACAAACCCACACTCCTCACACGCGAGAGGGGTCAAAGTTCACTTTAAGAAGGAGCCGTGACAGCCTGGCTCTCAGCCTACCAGTCAGCCACTAAAAACAAACTGGGCTGACTGCGTGGACTGATTTGAGGCGTCAAGCTACTGCGCTTGGCGGACTGCGATAGTCCAAGACTCGGATCATATGTGCAGCAGAGGAGCCGCATGAAGAAAGAGTCAAGAAGCACACTTCCCACTTTTGCGTGGGTGGTGATCGAGTACTTGCGATGGGCGGTGGAGGATGGAAATGGGAGATAGGGAGCGTGGTTAGGACTGTCTGCCGAAGTGGCGGACGAGGCATTTGCGGACGGGGAGACATCAGCTAGTGTAGTCAGGGTACTGCAGCTGGTTTCCTTCATGTCGTTCTAAGTGCTATTAGATCTGCTTCACATCTACTGGCTGCTTTTTGAATATGCGGATGTGTCATATGTATATGAACTTGATCTCTGAGTTCGAATTAAACATGAATCGCAACTATCGGGATATCGCTGAAGCATAACTAAAAAGTGAAATAAGCTCGCAGAAAGGGCTTATTACGTCGTCACTTACGGACCCTTACTCCCGTCTACCTCCTGCACGAGGAATCCCCCGCACGGCAGGTATCCTAGCTTGGCCCAGAGGTGTCTATCTGAACGGCTATAAAAGGACTTACAGTAGGTGGGCTAACTCATGAAATGTCAACCGAAATTCCGAAATGCGTTTTCGTTTCGAAAGGATTAAGTAAGTAGGGTTGTAAAACTAGTCATCCTGCAACCTAATTCTATAATATTCCAATTACCACAAGATGCCGGCTTTCTATGAACTTCCTTCCGGCTGCATACAAAAACTACGCTCTGTAAAAAATGACAACTTAAGTAGCATGAGTTTTTCTCATAGATTTTCGATGCCCCTGAAAGGACAATTATATTTCATGGAAAAAATGCATGAAAATATTCATTCTTTTGCTCATTCTGTAGATAATTACGTTTTCTTCCACTTCCCTGTTCAAAGGAAGGGTAGAATTCCGTTTTCAAAAACTTCTCCAATTCCCGAATCATCTGAACCCGCTCTATCGTTACACTTGGATTCAGGGTTCCCAAATTACAAGCCGTAAAATTTCCACGTACGGAAAACCATACATTTCTCTAAGGTAGTAAAGAGCGACCATATAGGCTTCATAAAATTAAGCGGCGGCTTTAGGACACATTGTTAACTTTACAAACCACATTGGTAAATGCGGAAACATGACGTTTTATGAAGAGCTATTTCACGCTATTAAAAAATCTTACAATCGGAAACTTTTTTAAAAACCGAATTCTATCCTTCCTTCGAGTTTAAAATTGAAAGAAGCCGTAATTTTCTACTGAATGAGCAAAAGAATGAACATTTTGTGCGTGTTTTCCATGAAATATTATTGAATCTTTAAGGGCATCGAAAATCAATGAAGAAATGCATGCTATTTATGTAGTCATTTTTTACACACTATGGTTTTTGAATGCAGCCGAAAAGAAGTTTGTTCGAAAGCCGGCGTCCTGGGGTAGCTGGATTATTATAGAATTATGTTGCACGATGACTGGTTTTACAATCCTACATAATCAGTCTTTTCGAAACGAAAACGCATTTCGGAATTTCGGTTGGCATTTCATGAGTTAGCCCATCTACTGTATTATATGTGTAAATGACTAGAACGTGCAGACGCAAAGGCGCGAACATTGGCTGAAAAGGCCAAAATGACTGACGACCTGTCATCCCCTGAGACTGCTACTTTGGGAAAAAGCATGAGGACTTCACAGATATGCCCGCAGATGGAAGTCAGACTTGGACGACGACGGGGACATAATAAATGTCTGAAGTCAGCCATACAGGCGGTTGAGTGGTTGGCCGACACCACCGCCAACATTACAGTAGGCGTCATTACGTAAAACGATCTTCAGGCTAGGAAAGGAAAATACGCCCGATCCCTCCTTTACATATACTTCTCACAGAGGCGATCCCTTATGAAAATTTGTGTTTTATTACATTGCCATTTTAGGCTACCGACGGTCGAACACGCGTCCGCAGCACAAAAGCAAGAACTTTCATACTTCCGGTAAGGTCATTCATATTTTCCGTGACAATCCTCTGGGAAAGAGATGGACTACCTTACAGAACAAGTCCTTCTATTTCGAAATGACATGGAGCAACCAGAGGGCGTTGCAGAAAATTACCTCCGTTACCAAAGATAGGCCCCCTGTCCTTCAGTTACCCTTGTGCACAAATGAGGAATACGAGGACTCTGCTGCCAAACTACGCGCGGACGCTGGTTTTACACAGGAGGCTATATGTTAACAAGCGTAGATGCCCATTATAGCTCATTGATAAAACATCTGCCGACCGTCGGGGGCGGACATAAAAAGAGTTCATAAGGTGGCCATGCTTGGACCGCCTCAATTTCTGCCGGGCAGGTTCCGCAGGCAAAAGGTCATTCATAGTCAATGTCCTGTTCGCCGTCCTCAATGGCATGTCTGCTGACATTAATTCCCACCTATATATGTCATGCGTAAAACTCCGCATTAGAGTACCTGCCATGCTGAAGTTATTTGCCAAACTGTAATTGATTGGTTCTGTAGCAGTCCGCACTTCCTGGCTCTCCGTCGCTTTGTCGCGTTGCCCTCCTGCCCCCCCCCACACTCCCTCTCGAGTCGTTGCTTTGATGTCCCGAGGCTTGTCACTAGCCTCGTGAGCGCTCGACGCCAAACAGCGCTGCCCCTTCTCTGACTGGCTGGCGGCACTGGGGCAGAGCGAAAGACACAAATGCACTGGGGTCCAAGCACCTCAACGGCGGACACAGACAACACAACTTGCCTAGAGAGATCGTTTGCTGTGACTGCTCTGCACACACTTCCTCAGCAGTAAAAGTTGTCCAACCGGATCTGTTTTCCTTGACTTTAGATTTGGGATCCTCTGTCTTGTCCATCGTACCATCTCGACAAATGGTGACTCCTTGCGAACAGCAACCTTCCGTCTTCCTAATCTAAGATAAGGCCAGGCGTTGATCATCGACAGTTTTCCACCGGAAGTGCAGCATATGTTGACACCCACTTTTAACATTCTTTCGGTTACATAACTTACTCAAAGGGCCGAACGGCTTATGGAGATTAACGGTTTTCCGAACCGTCACTTTCAGTACTCTCAACGCCCTCAACTCCTCTTGCGTTTTTTCCTTTCGCAGTTGGAGATCCGGCTTACGAAGTTTGCCGATGATATAGCTTCTCTCCAGAAGCAGACAGTTTTCCCCTCATCTCAGAGCCAACCGAAGCCGTCCACCCCACATGTCCAGGCTTCTCATCGAGCTCATTCAAACATAGCCGCCACACCACATTTGGTGCCAAAGTCCGTCGCCGTACCTATCCCTGCTCCTTCACCTCCAAGCAGAGCAAATGGGTAAAACGGGTCAGTCCGGAGGTCAGTGGAGCCAATCTTCCTGACAGCTCTAACCCTGGTCGCACATTTTATGTCTGCGACACCCCGGGTGGCAGGCGTTTCTTGGTTGACACTGGTACGCAGCGGAGTGTCATTCGGCCCACAACGGCTGATCCTTGATGTTCCATTCCCGGCTTTTACCTTCAGGCCGTTAACACCTATCCAATCGCCACTTTCGGCACCTGCTCCCTCTCTCCGGACATCGGCTTCCGGCGTCTTTTCCCCTGGGTCGTCGTCGCTGCTGACATCCCCTGTGCCATTCTCGGCACAGACTTCCTCACCGTTTTCGGTCTTCTGTTCAACTGACGTCAGTCCCGTTCATAAAACAAGACCACCAACCTCACTGTACGGGACATCTCTTCTTGTGGCGCTTCCCGTCAACTCGCCGCCCTGGGACCCGAATCCGAGAATCCATTTCGGCAACCCCTCGCCAAATACCCTGGCCTCACTCGTCCCAACTTTGGCGTATCTATTCCGGCATACGACGTTATTCACAGCATCCGAACCACTGGCCATCCCGTGTTTTCTCGGCTCCGCCGTCTCGCACCCGCACGACTGTTTGCCGCCAAGGCCGAGTTTGAGGACATGGGCACCATCCGTCAATCTGAAAGCTTCTGGGTGGTATCCCTCCACATGGTCCCAAAGGCCGCCACTGGTGACCGGTGCCCCTGCGTTGCTTATAGGGCCCTGAACACCGCTACCCTATCCCACATTTTCAGGATTTTTCCGGTGATCTGTTCATAAAATCGGTGTTCTCGGAGACTGATTTGGTCCGTGCTTCCCACAAAATCCCCATCGCCCCAGAGGACGCTTCGAATACGGCCGTCAACCCTCCCCCTTTGGCTTCTTTGAGTTCCTGTGCATGCCAGTTGGACTCCGCAACGCCTTCCAGACTTTTTAGAGGTTCGTAGACAAAGTGCTTCGCGGATTACCTTTCGTCTACGCCTATATCGACGACCTTCTAAGGGCTAGCTCCACCGCCGAATAACATGTAGTGGCGCTACACCAGGTGGCCGTGACAACGCCGATCCTCTCGCTAGTGTCTGCACGTACATACCAGCTATACCCTGCTTCGCCACGCACGCCTACTTGCCTTCACCATGCGAGGTTTGTCACTACCCTCGTGTGGGCTTGAGCCAATTAACGCAGCCCCTTCGATGACTGGTAACTCAGGCGGACATTCTAGACTAGCGACATTAAAATCGGTCTGGACACTTTCACGGCAGAAGCTTACGGCAACCCACGGGGGCATCGCTCTGGCGGACGCCGCTTTTGTGGTGCCGGACGCACCCTCGTCCGGCTGTCAACTTTACCCATTATTCTGTACATAATAAATACTCTTCCCCGCTGGCGTCCATCTTCTCCCTTCATACCTGGGACGGGACCAGAATATCGTATCAGCTCGGGTCACAACATGATTTCAACTGCTGTGATAAACACGTGGAGCATCTTACAACGGTGTTTGACCGTCTTCAACAGTTTGGTGTTGTTCTCCACCCGCCCAAGTGCGTCTTCAATGTGTCCTCCCCAGAAGTTCTTGAACATCTGGTTGACTCCAACGGCATTCATCCTCTTCCATCGATGGTAACGGCTATACGTGATTTCCCACCTCCCTCTTCCAAACGTCAGCTGCAGCGATTCCTGGACATGGTGTATTTCTACCGCCGGTCCCTCCCGCACTGTGCCGACACCGTTCTGCTGCTCAAGAGTCTCCTCTCGGGTTCCAAAGGTTCGTTCGAGCTGTCTGCAAACGCTCTCGCTGCTTTTGACAAGGCGAAGGTCGCCGTTGCCGACGCCGCCCTCCTGACGCACTTTTCTCCCGATGCTACCATCTCCCACGTGATTGACGCCTCAAATGTTGCAGTCGGCGCGGTTCTCCAACAGCACGTTGCAAGTCACACTCAACCCTTAGCTTTCTTCCCCAGGATGTTATCACCTGTGGAAATGCGCTATAGCGCATTTGGATAGGAGCTCCTTGCTGTGTTCCACGCCGTGAAACACTTCCGACACTTCCTTGAGGGCAGAGATCACAAAACCTTTTCCTTTGCTCCCAAGTCCACTTCTGACAAGCTCAATCTCCGGAAGGTCCGCTAACTGGACTACATCTCGCAGTTTACCTCAGACACCCGCCATGTCGGAGGTTATGTAGGTCGACAAGATAAAGATTCCCAATCAAAAGTCAGGGAAGACGGAGTGAGTGAGACAACGTTTACTGCTTGGAAAGCGTGTACACCAAGGCTGTGTGGGCAGTCGCCGCAAACGTGCTCTCCAAACAAGTTTTTGTCTGTGTCCGCCTTCCAGGTGTTGTCAGCGCGTGTATGCGCCCTCCATTGTCTCCGCGTCCGCCAGCCAATCAGACGGGGGCAGCGTTGATTGGCGTGGAGCACGCGCGCGTCCCAGCAGCGTATCGACAAGGAGCGTGAGGTGGACAGGAAGGCAGCGTGACAAAGGCGGAGGGCAATGAGACGCGAACTGCCAAAGTCACCTCGACGGGTCATTTAACGAGGTAGCAGACGCACTATCCAGGCCCTCTATCGTACATCTCCAACTTTCTCCCGGGATCGAACCCGCTGAGATGGCTGCCGAACAACACCGTGTTGGTTCTCCCTGTGACGAGGCCACGTCCGGACTCCAGCTCCAGGACCTGCCACTGACTACTGACGACGGCACCATTCTATGCGACGTCTCCACCGCCTCCCATCGCCCCTTTGTACCGCTGTCCCTCCGCTGATGTCTTCTTCTCCCTGCACAACCTATCGCACTCTGGGAGTCGAGCTACCGACAAGCTGGTTTCCGACGGCTTCGTCTGGTCAGGAGTGTACAAGGATCTGAATGCGTGGACACGGGCGTGTTTCGGCTGTCAGTGGAGTAAGGTCCGACTGCACATCAAAGCTCCTATCGGCACCTTCCCCACTCCGGATGCATGGTTCAGTCATGTCCACTTGGACATCGTAGGCCCCCGTCTCTGTACAATGGTCGTTCCCATACCCTAACTTGTGTGGATCGATTCACCAGGTGGCCTGAAGCTATCCTCCCTGTCTGAAATTGCTAATCCAACAGTCGTCAAAGCTTTCCTCATTAGTTGGATTGCCATCTGTGGCGCACCCTCCACTATATAAACTGACCGCGGTGTCCAATTTGAATCTAACCTCTTCCAGTCTCCTCTCTCCTTTCTAAGCTACTTGCATCTGCACTACAGCCCATCACCGAGCAGCCCGCCTATGCGCCGCAGACGATCCGGATAAATGGACGGAGCACTTCCCCTGGTCCTGTTGGGTATCCGCACGATTAAGTCACGTCCACCTGGACATCGTAAGCTTCCTGCCTCTGTCCAATGGTTGTTCCTATGGTAGAGGGGCTCTCAACGATCATTTTTTAAGGAACTCACTTGTCTCGTTGTGCCTTACGGGCTCTCTCTCTCTCTCTCTCTCGAGTCCAATGAGGAGCCACACAGCGGCGCATGATATAGGCAGAATGTTATTACCTAATGTCGGTAATAACATTCTGGTTGTTATTGTCTCCTCACTTGCATGGTTCGATTCACCTCATGGCCGAAAGCTCTCTCTCTCTGCCCGATGTCGTTGCTCCAGCAGTCGT